AGTTTAGCTCATTAGCTCATCAAATTCTGCTCATGAGCCATTTATTAAGTCGAGCTCAAACCAGCTCACGAGTCACTTACTGAGGTTAGCTTAATTTTCTAGCTAAAATTACCTTTATATTTTGTCAATTAACAATATTTAATTATATTAAGTCTTTGATTTGTCAAACATCCTATAAAACATTTTTAATAAATTTATAATTAGTTTTATAAATATGATTATGCCAAAAATTAGGTATTAAAATATATAAAATATCATTTTGTGGTGGGGCCGGCCAGTATTGATGGCTAACCGAAGATGCATGGTCATGCCAACCGACATCATGCACATAATGTGACAATGATGTGATTAAATGCCCTACATAGCCACATGTATATTAGCTGGATTAAAAATATTATATTTATATTAGTGGCATGTAATTAAATACTGATATTATTTTTCTATCATATCAACATCACAAATAAAATAATTTGGGTTTTAATATGCAAAATTAAATAAAAAAATTTATCATATTTGACAACAAGTTTTGTATTTGTAAGACAATTTCATCTTCAAGGTAGCATCAAGTGTTTCTATGTATATGTATGTATGCATGTATATGTATGTATGTATATGCATACATGTATACATGCAAGTACATACATTCATGTCAAGGCGCAGGATGATATGAAGATTTCAATTTATTAGCTAAATTAGGTTACATAGTCAAAAGAGTTACATCATTTTTTTTTTTTTTTGGGGAAATTAAGTTAAATCATATTATTATAGCTTTCAGTGTAAGGAGAAGATCATTAAGGAAGCATTAACATTTTATGATAAGTGTTCTTTTTAGTATTAATGAATCCATCTTTATCAATAATAGATGTCGTAATGTTAAGTGGCACAAAGATGACATGGTGTTAAGTCGTTTGAGCTTGAGATGGGTCATAGAAAAAGATGTGAAATTTTATTATAAGATTAAGTCAAATAGGAGAATTATTAAATATTTGACTAAATATTTATTATTAGATGCCTTAAAATATTTTGTACAAAGACAATTTGATTTGATAGTTATGTGAAATGGCCATCAATTATAATTTTTTTTTTCTATAGGGTTTTGATGCTTAGAGGCTTCCCCTTATAGTTAGGAGTTTGTTTTTTTAGTGCACATCTCTCAATTTTGATTTTATATGGAGTTGCTAGGTAAGGATTATACTATATATTGTAGAGAAACATTACTAAAGGCTCTAATCGGTGTACACTTAGTTTTTCACTCCCAATATGGGCCATACACATGGAAAAAGCTACCAAGTTGAGTTGGTGTCTTTTGTTGTGTTAGTCAACCAAACCAATCCATTAGGACAATTTGCCCCAACGGCTCTATTCAAAATTAGCTTTAGACACTCTCCCAATCCCCTATGCTAGCTTCCGGCCTCTAGGGCGCAATATAATCAAATTCCCTTAAGAACTATCAAATTAAAATAATTTTTGCCTAAACTTATCAAATATTTGATGATAAATCATTTGCTAGTGTTTCCCTTAAACCATGCTCTGAGCATGTTGCCCAAGCCTGAAAGTCCACTATGACATGCTAACTCTTTAGATGGTTACTCTTGTGTTATCTAGTCATAGTTGATAATCTAAAGCCCTATCCAATTAGCTACTTACTTGATTCCATCGTGACAACCACTTATCATTATTTGATTGACATCATTTAATCATGGATGATACCTCAACTTTTGTCTTGCAGCTCCCACCAGTGATTTTATCAGCTCCAAGTTTGATTCCTCTTTCCATGGAGCTAGATTGGCCAACTTTTAATCAAGTCTTTCATGCATCACCCACTACATCTTTGCCCATCGGCTCCCCAACTAGTGCATGGACCAAAAGCTTCCTTTATCCATAATATCACCTTCATTCATTATCTTGAGTTTGATGCTTCAATTCTATTATCTCATTTATAACAATCGATTGGATTTAGGCAAAAGACTTGATGAAAGAATTATTGTTAGCCCCTAGTTAGTGCTCCATGCTTATCAATCTAATTATCAAAATCATGTCATTAATACAATGTCACCCAATTTTGAGTTAGGTAGAGCATATTTCATTCTGCACGTCTCAAGAAATTGAATATGCTCTTTATATTGAACCACCTCAAGAATTATCATAAAGGATGCTAGCAAACTCTATCACATTTCTTTCAAATATTTGTAATGAAACATTTAGGATAGGCAATAGAAATCTATGTCGTCTCATAATTGTTTATAAACTAGTAATTTACTTTGTGTCCTGCTCAATTTTCAATATTTAAAACAAAATATAATACAAAATTGTCTTTATCATTTCATATGATATATTCATTAAGGTAAGAGATATTACATCATTGAGCTTCATAAAAGATGGTATATAGCAATTATTAAGAGCTCTCATATCATCATCCTAACTTTCAGGCAACAACAAAAACGAATTCGAGATAATTTTTCTATTTCATAATGATTGAGTTATTCTCGTTAATAATAGTGGGGGTTTTCATACATGAAAAAAATTGTCTTTATAATATCTACCATATTTATCTCATTAAGGATGTTAGAGACAACAGGGATAAAAACATTAACCCTGACTCTTATTTGTTCATCAATTTTCACTCCTCTTGATTAATAGATATATTAATAAATATTAGTCATTAATAAATATCAAGTAATAACATATAGTCATAGTGAGACATGAAAAAATGAAATGTTCCATTGAACATTAAGAGATAGTGAATATAATCTTCTTACAAGATATATAGGAGATAAAACCATGCAAGTAAATTTTGCATACTTTAGTAAATATTTTTAAAATATTAGCAATTTATTAAAAAATATTAAATCCATTTTTTAAAAATATATGAAGAGGTAAAATTTTGTTTTTTGAGATCACAATAAATTATCTTAATATTAATATAAATTTATTTTTGTATGATTTAGTAGATGAATTTTCTAGAAGATAGCTTACCCACCAAATGTAATTGCACCTCTACTTTGCAAATATTTGCCTTTTTGCATTTTTTTAAATGAAAAATGAATCTTAATTTTAGAGAATTTAACACTTACTTTACAAAGACATGATTTGGTTTGTACAATATTGAGCCTATGAAGTCATGATTAGCCAAATCGCACGGTGGAGGGACCATTTTATTTTGAGAGTTGGTATACAAGAAAATTATGAATGATATACTATCCATACAAATTTATCCATAAAATACAAAGGATTTCATGTGAATGATATGAATGCATGTGTCCCACATTAATTTTCATTTCTTTAGGGTTTTTTTATTTTTTATTTTTAGGCTTATAATATAATGATTGTAGATTTTAGCATGTAAAAGTTATTCAATATAATGGTAGATTTTAGCATGTAAAAGTTATTCATTTCTTTAGGGTTTTTTTTTTTAATTTTTAATTTGATGCATTCTTTGAATGCTGGTGATATTGAGCTTTCGGCTGAGCCCAAAATGTTGGTTTTAGATATCCTTGTGGCTTCTCCTATTATAGTTGCTATCTGGAAGAATATTATGGATTTGGAGGCTTGTGGGGATATTAATGAGGGGGTTGATGACAATTTAGCTCTTAAGACTAGTGTGGAATTTACCCTTGTTGTTTCTCATGTGGAGGTGGTGAACAATGGAGTGTGTGATATTAATACAGTGGCGCTGATTGATTATGCTAGTAGTTTGGTTATTGCATCTCATGATTCTCTCTTAGCTGATTTCAAAGTTGCTTTATCGCCTAACAAGGAGGTTTCGAACATTAATGTGCCATTGGTTGATGCTCCTATTTCTCTTATTTCTGATTGGCTAAAGGAATCCTTTTCATCACCTTGCAGAGGTGTTAAGGAGGATTTAGATGACCCTACGGATTAGTTTCAAGGGATGTATAGTTTGAATGTGGGTCGCATTGTTGAAAGAGCCTTTTCCCATGGTGGCAAGCGTCATAGAAGAAAAGCTAATAAGAAGTAATGTTGGTCTTTTCAATCATTTATTCTTGTTTCTTCTCATGCTATTACAGGAGCTTTGTTGGAGCATTTGCTTGGTTGGCCTTTGTTTCCATTCATGTTATCTTGGTTAGCTTTAGTTGTTTCTTTTATTTCTGTTGATTCGATATAATTGATTGGAACAATGACTCTTAGGTTTTGTTTCAATTGTTGTATTTATAGGGATCTTTTATTTCATTAAGAACCTGTAATTTTTACTCTTTTTTGTGGGTAATAATCTTATTATCGTAAGTATTTAATAAATCAAATTATATATATATATATATATGCATAAAAAAAAATTAAAACTATAATTGTATTATAATAATCTTAAAATAAATCAAATAGAATTCAAATCTATCCTAATGGGCTATTTTTTTCTAATACAAAGTCATTAGATTTAAAAGTAGATGTATTAGATTTAGCTTATGTTAAGAAAGGTACATGTAGACCTAAAAAGACTTGATTAGAAAATATTAGAATTAATCTTTCTTTATTAGATTTAAATGAGAATTTAACTCTTAACATGATACAATAGAGAAAAATGATTCATACAGCCGACCCCACATAGTGGGATAAAGGCTTGATGATGTTGTTTTCTTTGGTGTACAAATCATTAAATTTTATTTAAGGTTAGTAAAATACAAATTTTTTATATGCAACACTAATCTAAATGCAATTCGAATAACTTTCAACACTATCATAATACAATTTATATCAAGATATCATAATTTTGTTATGATTATAATATCTTCATATAAAATATATCAAAATAAGCTTAAAAATTCTTTAATTTACTTCAAATTTTGTTTAATACAAAATAGTTATGCACAACACTAATCTTAAAGTAAATATAGTGACTTTCAAGCCCATTTTGCTATTTCTCAAAATTCATGATTTGAGATTAGTGCTATACGTTAAAAAATATAAATCATAATTTATTGCGGTGATCTTTTTTTTTTTTTTTTTTTTTTTTTTTCTACTATAAGTAGCGCGCAGCCCGCCGAAGTGAGCAAACTGGATATCCATTGAGCGCTACTTCATGGGGCGGAGGACGAGCATGGTGGCGCCGGCGATTGCGCTTGCTCTGCTTTTGGCCGCGCGCGCGAACGGAGACTTCGCGAGCGACCGGTCGGAGTGCGTAGACCAGCTGACGGCGCTGCTGCCGTGCCTGCCTTTCGTGGAGAGCGAGGCGCGGATGCCGATTCCGGATTGCTGCACCAGCGCGAAGGCGGTGGTGGGGAGGAGCTTCAAGTGCCTTTGCCTGCTCGTCAAGGACCGGAACGAGCCCGGCCTCGGCTTCAAAATCAACGTCACTCGCGCCGTTACCCTGCCCGCGGCCTGCAACGTGCCCGCCAATATCTCCGATTGCCCAAGTAATTATTTAAAAGCTGTTCCAAACGCAGCCTTTAATTTGCGTTTTTTTATGATCTTCTTTGAATTTGTGCTGAAACTTAAGGGTTAGGCTTCGTTTAGGACGACTTTTTTTATTGCTTCTTAAAACAGAGTTTTAGCACATATATATATATATTACAAATAATAATAATAATAATAATAATAATAATAATATGGCTAATATTAATTTATCTAAAATAAAAGATATATATTTTTCCTATTTATATATTTTTATGCGACTCCATAGGTTTATATGACCATTTTAGGCTAAGTCGGTATAGTTTTAATACTCTCTTATATAATGAATGAGCAAGTGTAAAGTGGGACCAAGTGATAAGAAATATTAGATAAATATTAGAGGCGGCAATTGCATAACATTTAAAATTAAATAATAATTTTTAACTTTTTAATTTTTTAATTATTATCTCAATATTAAAATTTACAATAAAATTTTATTTAATATCTTTAATTTTTATCATTTTTATTGAATTAGATTGTTGCATACAAAAGTATATTAATTTGATATTTACAAAAACAGATAAATTTTGAGATAAACATGAAAGAGTGAAATTTAAAGAAAGAGAAGGTGTGGAGTGCATGTCATTATCATATTCTTTATTTCTTTTTTTTTCTATTTTTAACAAAAATAAATGAAGAGATATAAGCCTATTTAGTGCATTATATTAAATGCAAACATGTGGTGCACGAGGGGTAGGATATAAGCCTAAGTTTGATTAATTTTGATTAAAACCTAATACTAATTAAATATAATATATGTATATATTGTTCAAAATCTATTAATTTGATCATTTGAATTTTTTTTCTAAGTTCATATCATGGATATTATTGTAATATAAATGGTTCATTGATTTTGTCTTTATGTTGAAAATTTTAATATATTACAGAGCTGCTCAAGCTGCAGCCAGGCTCACCGATGGCACAAGAGTTCAACCAACTGCAACAACAGATTGTCCAAAATTTTCAAGGTAATTATTTATTTAGTAGTGGTGGTGGTGGACCTGATGGTGGTGGTGGTGGCAAAAACAGTAGTAGCAACAATTAATAATGACACTCAAACAACTTTTACTTGCAAAATTTTGATAGAATGATATTAGCATAAGAGACAAATTAATAGATCAAGTTTGATGTTAACCATTAGAGAGAGGAAGTAGGGAAGGTTGATGTGATATTATTATACGATTATTTAAAACATAAATGAAGTTCATGATAAAAATAGCATCTCAATTAATTATATCTTATAAAATCCCTAAAATAATTAGAATTAATTAAGTAAACATACTCCTTCAAATCACATTTATAATATACGACAAATATTTGATGTGATATATATCTTAGTTTAAGTCATTTCATAAGCAATTACGTACGTATGTGACTAACTTAGATGTCTATTTAGTACATTAATAGCCATGTGATGGAGGGCACTCACTCTCTTCGTAGTGGGATTCTCGTTCCCTCTGCAAGAAGAACTCGTTCCCTCTACAGTAGGGACTTTCACTTCCTCCATTGTACGTAACCATTTTAAAAAAAACGTATACATATAACAAAAATATTAATTAATTAATCAATTAATGAACCTTCTCAATCAAAATATACTTATTGTTGCTTATAACACTCTACCATAGAATAAAGATAATATTATTTAGGGTTATTTTATTTTAAATATTATTGAAAGATTAGAGATGAATAAACAAATAAAGCATAGCTATCATCTGCCCTCTTTTTGAGGCTATTAACTATACAATAGAATAAGAAGGTTGCTTTCACATAATGTCAATATAAGGACTTCTATTTGACTTCCAACCGTTCATAATGGTCCACAATTGTCCATTGTATGGGCAATTAATTTGGCCATTAAGAGAAGGACACCATAGAATTATAGAAGTTGTTAACATTAGGAGAAATATTAATAAAGTTCTCTAACAATTTGGCAAATTAAAAATACAATTTCATGGCATTTTTTTTTATTTCTATGAGGCTAAAAATAATATTATTTCATATCAAATAGCATATATAGCATAATAACAAACACCATTGTTAATTTAATAATATTGTTATGTATTTCATTTAAGTTCAGTTTTTATTTATAAGATATTATGACCCTTTTTTTGTTTTCATATAAAATGATATTTTTTATTGTTATGATTATTTATGACTCTTCAAAATTATTTAAGATAATAATATAAATGAAAATGTTTTCATTCTAAAACAAAGTCAAATAATATTGTGGATGCAAGGAACAATATCACTTCTTCAAATCCAAGTGGTAGTAGCATTTCAAAGAGGAGGTTCATTGGTGATATTAATGTGGTCCTTCAATTAGGGTTTCTTTTTATGGTGTTTCTCCTTTGGGGCAACTAAGTTCTTATGAGCTCATCTATATTACTCATAGTGAATGAATTTATGATAATAATCATTAGAAGTTTGGATGTTCGCATGTTTAATTATATTGGTGTCCATCTCTTCCGTGTGAATTTTGCATGTATCAACCCTAAATGTGTTGTCAAAAATAGTATCCTTATTGTGTTTTATATATTCGTTGGATTTACTTTTGATGATTTTATATTTGTGAGTTTCTATATGATTTTTATTCTTTTGTTGTGGTGTCGGTCAGTTTGTCTAGTCGATATATTGAGTTTGACTATAAGTTTGTTGAAATCAAAGTTTAGATGATCTTGAATTTAATTCCGTAAGTTCCCAATTTAAGTATTGCCTCGAGATTAATTCATGCTAATCAAGTGAATTCTTTATAGACATATTAGTAAAAGATCTTTATTATCAGTTCTGTAACAATTTTTTTTAGGAAGAACATAAATCAAATGTTTTTTGTACTATTGGAAATGTTAAATAACCTGGGCATAGATAAATATATAGATATTATAAAAATTCAAAATTTTTTGTATCAAGCTCAAAAGTATAAGAGATGTGAGAGAGAGAGAGAGAGAGAGAGAGAGAGAGAGGGAGCGGGCTAGGCTGAACTCTAAATGATTATCTTGAGTGAATAGATTTACAAAAGAACTCATTAAACCCTATGAAAGAGGAGAATGAGAAAACAATGCTAAGAAGTAAAATTTAGAGAAATTCAAAGAGAGAATTCAATGGAATAAAATTTCACTCAATAAATAAGATTTCATCATATACATGCTCGATCTATTAACCGCTCTTCATACATGTCCCTTGCCACATCGCATATAGCAAAATTGTACCTTCTTTTCAAGTCGTTATTGTACTTTCTTGTTACCTTTCTCTATATAATCCTCTCTTCGTAATCAGTCATTAACTTAGAATGAAATTCACTCAGTCATTTCTCTGTTCTTCATTTCCTCCTCCTCAAGATTGATGTTCATCATTCCCTCCTCCTCAAGATTGACGTTCTTCATGGTATCAGAGCAATCAATTCCCCTCCTCCCTTCTCCTCATCGTAATTCTTCTCTATGAACCACTCCGCATAAATGTCCTCCACAAATCAAATGGGCGCTCTCCATGCTGATGAATCCCTCACCTCCCCGCAAATCCCATCATCCCTCAAATTTTTGATGAGCAACGTCAAGAATGTGATCGCTCAACCTCTCACAACTAAGAATCACCCGCTTTGGGGCTCTCAAGTAATCAAATTATTTCGTGCCAATGGTTTTGAAGGCTTCTTGGATGGCTCTTCATGTCCTCCTCGCTCCTTCACCACTGAAGACGGCCAACTCCAGCCAAATCCGCTCTATGTCAACTGGGTTTTGCTCGATCAAAACCTCGCAGCTGCTCTCTACTTTGTCATCTCCTCCATAATGTTGCCATACGTTCTCTCGGTCGACCATTGTACTGACATTTGGACCATGCTTGATCGTCATCTACAATCCTCTACTTATTTAAGAATTATTCATCTCAAGAACGAGTTGCACTTCTTGTCTGTGAAAGACAAATCTATGACACAATACCTCCTTGAAATTAAAGCCAAGGTTGATGCTCTCGCAGCTGCAAGTGCCCCGATTGATGCTAAAGATATCATACATTGCACCTTAAATGGTCTTCCACCTATATATCAAGCATTTAAAATAGCTATCCGCACAAATATCCGTCCTGTTAGCCTCGACGAGCTATAAACATTACTCTGCAGTGAGGAACTCAATGTAGCCCACGAAACAACAAAAGAACTTCAATCTCTTCAACTCTCTAGTAACACCACATCTCTCACAGCCACTTGAGGATGCGGTCGCGATAGGTCCTCTCTAGTAACACGACATCTCTCACAGCCACTTGAAAATTCGTTCTTTCTATTCCAAGCTCGATTCCCCACATCTCAACTACAACCCAAACTCCCTCATGTGAAGGAGAAATTATTCTTTGTGGAATTCAGACATGAAGAATCATTTGGACCGTGAGTGTACATACTGTGTACACTAATTTGATACATATAAATATGCACACTCATATATCTGAACGATTCTGCATGAACTCCACATAGAATAATTTCTCCATGTAAAGACACCTCCAGACGATCTCCATAGCTAAGTCTGCATAAGCGGCAAGCCCATCCAGGTGCCCACAATCCACGTACAGCCCGTTCATCACAAGCTCCAAGAACCACTCAACTTCCTTCACATGAAGCCCCAATAAGTCCTCATATCCGCTCTATCTCCTCCACACAACTACATGTTTTCTCCATTCAAGCCTCACCATTTTCTACATGCGTAAAAACCCACTTAAACAACAACTCCACTAGCAAATAAGCCTCTACCAGATGTCTCTCCTCTTTCTAATCTTTGTTACATATAAATATATGTCTATTAAAAAAATCTGACACCGATCATACATCTCTTTCTTTGAAGTGTTGGACAGGCCTAGACTCCCTGTAAATTCCTCATACATGGGGGTGACGTCGAGATACTAACAAAATTTTTATTGAACATATCTGACAAGAATATTTGGTATAATTCTTGCATTTGAATTTAATCTAAAAATGAATAAAAAAAATTTCTTATTAAATCTATATTAAAAAAATCTTAATATATATATATATATATATATATATATATATATATACATCTATCACATCTATCACATCTATCAACATTGGTATCAAACAACAATTATCAATGATAATTGCAGTCATATTCAAGGGAGTGATTAATGCATTTATTATCTATCTATCTATACTATGTGGATGTTGATGGTGAACAAGAAAATCAGCTAAGTTTGGATCAATCTCAAGTTTCGTGTTGATGTAGATTTAAGAAATGAATGATAATGTTAATTAAATAAATAAAAAAAAAACGAATTTTTCTCTCGGATCAAGTTTTGATAGACTTGGAGCATAAATTTTAAGGTAAACTATTTGACAATCAGACACCGATTCAGACGTTAACCTTTACGAACCATTATGAAGACATCCGCTGGAAGATAGATATTCGGAGATGTTCAAAGATGTGCTTGATTTGTGGTGGCTATGCTTTTTTATATAAATGATCGTAATTCCTTAAAATGGCTTACATTCTTTAAGCTCAGATACATTGGATTATAGAGTATAATAATCCTTGTCACATTAAATCATGATATTGTGGAGGATGGCTGAAAGCTTAGTGCATAAATTGTTCTAATGCTTGTGTAGAACACCAAAGGAGGAAGATCTTCTTGAGAGATCTTCTTGCAAGATCTCTAGAGAGGGAGAGAGGAGGAGGAAGAGGGGAGAAGAGCCGTGAGCCAAAATGCTTCAAAACTCTATTTCCTTGGCTACCTATTACAAGCCTAAACACACATATTTAAAGACTCCTAAAGGCTATACAAATAGCCCCACAAATGACTACATATGTCATACACAAAACCTATACAATAAAGAATCCTAAATCTAGGAACAAAACACAACAGCTTGACATAAATTTATCAAATAATAAAATGGTGAGCAAAAGATGTTTACTATTGCATAAGTATGAGCTTGGTAGATTACTGAGACAAGGAAATTTGGTGAATATTAGTACTAATTAATGTATTGTTATAAAAATGATTGACAAAGGAAAGGTGTTCATTGTTGGGCCGGCTTATGGATCAGATCAAACTTGAGATCTCAATAATGAGATTAGTGAGGCATCCAAATATTGCACAATTTTGTGAAGTCATGTATACAAAAAATCAAGATATTTATTTTGTGATGGAATATGCTAAAGGATATGAGCTTTTTCAACATGATTGTTAAGGATGACATACGAGGATGCTCACTCATGAAATTTGAGGTACACTTTATAGACACACTATATTGAAGACTATAATAAAAATAAAAGAAATAAATAAACAACCAAAATGCCACTCGATCCACAACAAGTTTACAAGTGAACATAAGATGTTTGTAGGCCCCTAACTAAAATTTTGTGCACGTCCCAACGACAATCACTTGCACAAATAATCATATTTGATTATTTTGAAGTTCCCCCCCGTGCATTAAAATAAAACTCCCTAGATTTAAATATGATGCACTAAGTAGGATGTCGACGCCTTTATGATGCATGCAACAGCCTTGGGAAGCAAGTGACTGTCTCGAGAAGAGTGCAACCGCATTAAGAAGGGAGTCACCACCTCGAGAAGCATACACATTAATGTAATAAGAATTTTAAAACTCTGCATGGGCACCAATGAGTGTAATGTATATACACATGTGACGTCTAATGATGTTGTGTGGGTCAAAAGCGAACCTAAGTCACGTTTAGTCCTCATGTTCGAATGGACTAGGGTTAACACGACTTGAACTACTAACAAATACATGATCGTAGTGCCGACCTGAGTATTTGATTTTATAAGTTCATATTAGACCTTCAAGGTCTATTAAAAAGGAGGTTCACTACTAAAAGCATAAAATCAATACTAAACCCAATCTTCTATTAGCATGTGGACAAAATTGACACAGTTTAAATAATAAATATATAAGCTATTTAAATCCCCTATGATGGACGTATTGAAAGCTAATCTCAACCATAGGGGACCTCAAACATTTAAAATGCCCCAAATTTTAAAAACAAATCATGTTTGGAAAGAAATCTTGATAAAAATATAAAAACTCAAATTTTACAATATTCAAATATTCAATTGAAATTTATTATTTAAAACTTAAAGTAAAAAATTCATCCATTATCCGCAAACATTTGTTAAGATAATAAATTTAAGAATACCTTTAGTCTTTTAGCTCATAAGAGTAAAATGTTTAATTGAATGTTTCAATATGATTCATTCTCAAATGATTTCTTGCTAGCAGGGACGTGACATATGCCCTCTGACCGAGTGATTTTGCTGCAAGATAGTACCACTATATCATGGTGACAATCAAAGCTCATATGCTCCACATTTAAAATCCCCTTGAGTAATGAATTATATGGTTTACTCAATAAGGCATAAAACTTTCAGTTACCTAAGGTTGACTAAAATTTATCTCCATAAACAAGCATCCACCTCAAGTCTACAAGATATACCCTTGGACGAAGCAACCCATGGCTGCTGACAAGGATCATTCGGTCAAGTTGGGTCGACTACCTCATCTGACTAAGTAGACTAGGGACCATGACGGCTCGACACAACGGAACCATTGGA